TCCAATATTATGGTACTGTACCTTCTCCAATATTATGGTACTGTACCTTCTCCAATATTATGGTACTGTACCTTCTCCAATATTATGGTACTGTACCTTCTCCAATATTATGGTACTGTACCTTCTCCTATATTATGGTACTGTACCTTCTCCTATATTATGGTACTGTACCTTCTCCAATATTATGGTACTGTACCTTCTATATTATGGTGCTGTACCTTCTTCTATATTATGGTACTGTACCTTCTCCAATATTATGGTACTGTACCTTCTCCTATATTATGGTACTGTACCTTCTCCAATATTATGGTACTGTACCTTCTCCTTTATTATGGTACTGTACCTTCTCCTATATTATGGTATTGTACCTTCTTAAATATTATGGTACTGTACATTCTCCAATATTATGGTACTGTACCTTCTCCAATATTATGGTACTGTACCTTCTCCAATATTATGGTACTGTAACTTTGTAACAGTATCATTTGTATTATATAAATATTTACCCGCACGTATAAAACCAAATTATTCACTAACTTTTTCAACCATGACTCAGATATTGATGTTATGAATTGCTGAGGTGACATTGCCTTTGGGGAGCGAGCGAGGGCAGGCTGAGGTCAGCGCATGTCAGCAACAACATATCTGACGCGTTTCCTCTCGAGGCCTGTTACCCATTGAACACCTCACTTAGGTGTTCTCCCATAAGTGCACTATTATGGCAAATTATGAGAAGAGCTTAGTCACTCTTAAGTAATGATAAATAAACACGCAGGCAGGCCTTCAGCGCCAACTGTCAAATCTTATCTCAAATAAATAAACAAACACCAGACACAGTGTCACCTCACCTCCCGCAACTCCTCCCTGTGCCCCCCCTCTTCCCACGCTCGTTGGCTACCTCCCTCCTTGTGTTCCCAGACAAAAGATTGGTGATTTCTTTATGTTTATTTTATATAATACTGTATCTCAGACTAAAGTTAGGATAATATAATTTGCATTGCTGAAATCCTTGCAAGACAGAGATTAATTTAAATATAAGTGTCATATATTTTGCTCAAGATATAAAAAATGTAGTACATTAGTGTACAATACTGTACAGTCAACCCTCGCTTTACGCGGTCCCACTTTACGCATTTCCACGTTTACGCGGTACACTGCCGAACACGGAATGCTCACTTTCCGCGGTGTGTGCCCCCTTTTATGTAGAGAGCGGCGCGAGCAGGGTGCACACAAGGTCGCACAGTCATCAAAACATTACCTAGTTCTTCACCCGCCACCCACCACAGCCGGCCCAAGTCAGTGATAGTGATAATGATAGTGAGGATATGGACTTATATGGACTTTGAGGGGTTTGACAAAGAGGCCCTGCAAGCCTCTGTGGTGGATAGTGATACAATTGATACAAGTGATACAGGTGAGGGCCAATAATCTGCCCTCTGCCTCGGAACCAACCCCCCATCCCCTCATGTGTGCCCAGCCATCTTTCTACTACACAAGTGTTAAAAAACCTTATTGAGTTAGTTGATATTTCTCTTTAATTAATTACAGTTATTTTGGTGTTCAGTGGAGT